ATTTTCTAGAATTCTATAGTGGTGGTGGTGATTGCACTATATTGTAAATAAACTAAAAGCCACTGAATTGTACTCTTTAAAAGGGTAAATTTTATAATATATGAATTACATCTCAATTTTAAAAAGCCTTCCAGAATAAAGAGACACAGAGAATTCTCGTTCAAGTTGTAGTGCTTATTGGGTGACCTTTATTACCTTTGATTATTTTGCCCTTTTAGTCAACATACTTTGCACATTGTTTGTTTCTGCCTCATTGTTTGTTAGGCTTGGCCCGACTGGGGAAAGGAATAACTGTGGCCTGAATGTCCTTTTCCACCTGGAAATAGATTTTACCTTTTCTTTGACCCCTCCTTTCCTATCTTCTAGCCCTTTGAAGTTTAAGTCCTGTTAAAAATTACATCTGATCACTAAGAACTTTGCTAGCCTTTGAACATTTTCTGCTCATGCCAAACCAGTTTTTTTTTCCTCAGAGGGACCAAAGGCCTCTTTTCAAACTATACCTTTACAACACACTTAAATAGAAACAAAACATTTTAAAAGTCATCATTTGTACAAAGGCGATACATTATCCTTATAGAAAATTTGGAAAATTCATAAAAGTAGAAAGAAGGGGACAATATCATTCCTTGTCTCCCCACCCAGAAACAACCACTCGTAACAATTCCCTTTTTGCCTTTTTCTCTGCAGTTTTATTGCCTACTTCAGATCATACTCATATTCAGTTTCCCAAATTTTCTTATGCAAAATTTCAAATATACAGAAAAGTTGAAAGTTTAGTATAATGAACACTCACTATCACCGTCTTGAGTCAACAGTTGTTAAAGTTTTACTATATTTGCTTTGTTTATATATGTATTTTTTTTCTGAACCATTTCAAAGTAAGTGGCAGACATTGTGACACTTCACCCTAAATCCTTCAGCATGCATCTCCTAAGAAAAGGACATTTTCCTACACAACTATTTTTCATACCTAAGAAAATTAAAAATAACTCCCTAATATTATCTAATATCAAATCCATGTTAAAATCACTCCAATTCTCATATCTAACTTTTAAATAGGCCTGCACAATAGTTCTTCACATTGAAACTCTCTGACTCCCACTAGAGAAACTGGGCCATTGGAAAAGACACTCATTAGGCTAGAGGACAAGACCCCATCTATCCTTGGGGATAAACACCATCACTGACTCTGGGTAGGGATGATGGAAGAAATGTGAAGCAGACAGTTTGAGGGGAGAGTGTTTATGCTCCTTCCACCTTTCGACCAGGTGTACTAGCTTCCCTGGAAGTGGAGATTAGGTAGAGAAGGAAGCACAACTTCATTCTCTCTCTTTTTTAATCCTTTCTTTACTGGCATCCAATTTCAGATAGCCATGGTGGCCTCAGCGCCCAGCCTGGCATTTGTCCTGGGAGTCATCATCGCCATCCTCAATATCTACTCAAGTCAGCAAAGATGCTTCAAGGACCAGCATGGCTGATTGTTTCATCCCCTATCCTGCCCCAGCTAGCCACCAATTTCCGTGTCAGACCCTATTCCACTGGTAGACAGACAGCCCCTCATATGGCATTTTGCTTTTGTTTTTATTTAAATGTTAATAGGTACAAAGGTACATAAGAACCATCCTATTTTTTCTGATATACCAAAGTCTATTAATCCCTACTAATGGTTACTCCGGTTATTTTAAATTATATGCTATTATAAGCAATACTTAGTGAATAACTTTACACTTAGCATTTTGAACTTAGAATCAGAAAACTGGAGTGTCTTAGAAAAACAGAATAATTGAATAGAGAAGGAGACTGTCAGAGCCATTTTTACATAGTAATTAGAGTCACAATTCAAACTCACTCCTAAGGACTGTCAGATCTGGAATGAACCAGAGATCATCTGGTCCAACTCTGTTTTAATGAAGAAAACGAGGCCCAGAGAGGACAGAGCCTGCCCAAAATTAAAGCGGTGACAGAGCCAGGCATTAACCCCAGACCACTGCACCACACTACCTCTCTCAGCCCTGTGCCTTTGCCTCAGCCCTTGCATCTGAGAATGATGGTCTTGGAGAGTGTCCGGGACATAGTGAACAAGAGAAAGGAAAAGGCCTGAGGCTGGAGGGCCAAGGATACTGGTCATCTTGAGAGGGAGGCTGGGAGGGGTCCCTGAGCTAAAGGGGGAGCAACAATACAGGATACAGATTAAAAAAACAAACAAGGGCCGGCCCGGTGGCACACTGCTATAGTGCGCCGCTTGGGAAGCGCGGTGGCGCTCCCGCTGAGGGTTCGGATCCCACATACAGACCGGCCGCTCACTGGCTGAGCGAGGTGCGGGAGCAACGCCGAGGGTTGCGATCCCGTTGCCGGTCCCGGTCCGGTACGGGGGCGACACTGAGGGTTGCGATCCGTTGCCGGACACGGAAAAAGACAAAAAAAAAAACAAAAAAAAACCAATGAAGCAACTTCCTAAGGTGCAAGTTGAGTTTTGAGGGAGGGGAAGTAGCCATAAGGAGAATGGAAACCAGAAATTTCTGACTATCCTGGGAAAGCTTTTTGAATGAGGTGGGACTTTGCAAGCCATAGAAATGATGACAAAAATGTTTAAACAAAGGCATCTCAAGCTAGAGGCTGCTCCTCTCCAAACTGTGGCCCTGTCTAAGCTCCTTCCTCGAACCAGCTTCTACTGAGACCTTAGGAATGATTGATCCTCTTTCTTCTGATCCCTGTAGAAAGAAGCAAGAGGCTACACTCTGCCCTGCGGAGCCAATCCCGGGACAGAGGAGGACCTCTTCCAGCTCCCCATTACTTAAGCATGTCTCTTGGGGAGATCTCTGTGGAGTGGAAGGATAACCACATAGGCAATTTCTTTGCTTGCCCTGGTCATGTAACTCACTGAAACTCTACACACAGATACTGGGAAGGATTATACTCTAGAACTCTGAGAGCCTAAGGCCTGGCAAACTGGCTGAGATGCCAGGGGAGCTCTCTCTCAAAGGGGCTGGGGCAGGAATCTCCTCCAATTTCAGATTCAATTATTCCTACAAAGAATACAATTTATGGGAGATCCCTTCACCAAATTACCTATGACTTAATGGACATTCTGTATGGCTCAGAGGAGTAACTCCAAAGCTAATAAGATATTCTAAAGCAGAGTCTTCCCCATGGAACCTATCCTCAAAGCACCCCAGATGTACATAACTGCCAATACCATCTTCCTTTTTAAGCCTCAACTTCCCCAGCAATAAAAATGAGCAGCAATATCAGGTCGTTTTACAGGTCCCTTCCAACTTTGATGTTTGAAGTTTTTAGAGTCTTGAGATTCCACAGCCTCCCATTCTGAGAGTACAGGGCCAGCCAGCCTTTGTTAGGAGGCAGCTTGTCTGTGGTTTGGCACCACTGGCCAGCAGGCATTTATTAAATCAGTGGGATGTAGTCCCTGTTGGCCTGGAAAGAGAACATTAAGCTCCAAAAACTTCCTGCAGCAGGCCTCCTTCAGAGAGTGCTGCTCAGAGGGATGATGAAGAACAAAACCATTCAGGTCCCTGGCTGTGCTCCAAGATCCTGTTCGCTAGTACTTCTGCCCTGTCTGCACAGAGAACCAGTGACTGAAAACATCTGGAAGCCTCCTTAAGACCTGGGTGACTTTTCTCTCCTTCCTTTGGGGGTGGCTGTTCTTCACTCTGGTAATCCAGGTTAACCTTTGCCAATGCCCCTTCCCTCCCAATCTTTTGCACTTCATTGGGCAAAAACCTTCTAATAAAATCCACATGAACCCAGCTGCTAACAGCTCCTGGAAGGGCTATAGGATCTAACACCTGCCCCTGCATTCCTTGAGCCCTAGTAGCAAGGGAAAAGAGGGCTGAGACTCAACTCTTGCACCTCTAGGACTTACAGTGGAGTTGCAGAGAAAGGGAGTAGGTAGGAAGAGAGAAACCTCAATGATGAGGGTTTGCTGAAGGTGGGGAAGGCAGCTGCAGTTGAGGAATGCATAGGCTTCTGGGTGGCCCAGCAGAGCCCTGTGGGCCTGAGCCTGCCTCATTCCCAGTGACCTTACTCTTGCTGACAAGGCTCATCACTCTTGGAGGCAGGCCTGGCTAGAGAGGTCATGGTGCATGTGTCACTGACCTGGTGATCCAGGGTTGCCTGTTCCTCCTCTCTGCTGAGACCTGTGGAGCCCCAAGTTCCTTGGGTATTTAATTAATTATTTAAGGAAATATTTAGTGAGCACCTGTAACATATGTGCCTGGTGCTGGCGGGGAGAGAGACATCAGCGAGTAGAACAGACCCAATTCCCGTGCTCCAGTCCCACTTTTTTGGAAATCCTGACTATAGGTTACAAAGTATTAGGGACACTAGTGGTGGTGGGGTAAGAGTGCTTGGAGTTCCAGAGGCAGAACAGCCACCTGGCAGAAGAGCAGTGCTGTGTCTCTCCCAGTCTGACTCCCTTCTCTCAGGTATAGTATATGGACACAGGATTCCCTCTGGTTAAGGTCAGAGTTCTAATTCACATTAGTTTCTTCTCCCCACCAATGGTAAGAGTCCAAGAAATAAACACAATGGGTTAGAAGGACAGATAAGTTGCTTGAGGTTTATTTGTAAAGTGCAAGGATTCACTTACTGGGTCCGGCCTTTTTATTTTTGCTGCTTTGCCTTTCCACCCAGCTGAGATTTTGCTTGTTCTCATCTGAGAGTCCTGAGCTGATTTCACTAACCTATCTGCTTTTGGCTGTGATCAGCCAAAGACCAGTACAACCTTCCCCAGACCTGAAGGTAGGTTCATCTCAGAAGGCCGTCAAGGACCCTACAGAAGCAAATGACTTTGAGGGCCAGCCCATGGCTCACTTGGGAGAGTGTGGTGCTGATAACACCAAGGACATGGGTTCAGATCCCTATATAGGGATGGCCAGTTTGCTCACTTCGGAGAGCGTGGTGCTGACAACACCAAGTCAAAGGGTTAAGATCCCCTTACCGGTCATCTTTAAAAAAAAAAGAAAGAAAAAGAAGCAAATGACTTTGCTCAGTCATCTCAGGCCTCTGTGGAGCAGAGAAACTGGTGTCCTTCTTGGAGTACTGCCTTCATCTCCTTGAACTGAGCCAATTGGCAGGCCTCGTCCAGCCCCAGCCAGCGGTAGGCTTGGTGCTCGTGGGAGAGACGGATCTCCACATTGAAGTCTTTCACCTCCGCCAGCCAGTAAATGACTGTTTTAGGCTTTCCCCTGGCCACGTAATTGAGCTCCCGTCTGAACCCCTCAATGATGGTCAGCTGGCCTGTTTCTATGCCCGCTTCCTCCTGAGTCTCCCTCAGGGCTGTTTCCAAGTCATTCTCTCCTGGTTCCACATGGCCTAGTTAGGAGAAAAGAGGAAGAAAATGAGAAAATCTTCAACAGTCCCCAAAGCTGGATTTTCCAGGCCCATGATTTAGAGATGGGGTCCTTGGTGACTTTTCCAAGTGTTCCTAGGCTAAAGGAACCTTGGAAATTGGCAATATCATGCCAATAACATGCCTGGGAAGGGGGTGCAGGGCAGGTAGTGTCTGGTTTTTGGGGTCTGAGCAATCCCTCCTTTCTACCCAATCTTCTCTTTAGAAAGTGAACCAGACCATGTATTTGGCAAGTCAGGTTTAGAATATTGCTCTTTGATGGTGAGAGAGAAGACCTCCTTCCGACCTCTGCTTTCTTATTCTTTGGAGCTCTCCTCATCCCATCTTCTCAGGGACCACTTTTCCCTTGGAAACCTTAAAGTTATTTTTCCAAGGAGGGGAAGTCCTTTCTTGGCAGGTGGGAGCTAGCTGAAGAGGGAGTACTTCACCTACAATCCAGTGAGGAATTAACACTGTCTACAGTTGGACCCTGCAGTCCCAGGGCCGACAGACAGGCTCAAAACCCTGCACTGCTGCAGCCGCAGCTGTTTCCAAGTAGCTATCAAAGCTTTTTCCAAATTGTTTTCATCTTTCTAACTGAGCAAGGCCAGATTTCAATTTCATAGGGAAAGTCCTGATGGGAACTTAGACTAAGGAAAAGCTGAGAGCCAGTTCTAAGAAAATTTGTTGGCAAGACCCAAACCCAAGCAGACAACTGCCAAGAAACTGTTGTAGGGGAACTTGAAGCTCTGCAGACTGGAGCAGCCCTCAGCTTTACCTTTAGGCCCTTCCCACAAATATTCAGCTTGCCCAGAGGAACCAAGAAGGATTGGGGGGGGTCAAGCAGCCTCTGTCTACACATGGCTCCAGCAAGTTGCTGGGGGGCCTCCTGGTTCAGAAGCTCAGGGAGAGGAGGAACTCTTAGCTGTTCCCTTCTCCGTTTGGAGACGGAGCTATCCCCTAGCCTTCTTTCCCAGGGGTCCACAGAGCAGTGCCCTCAGTCAGTTGCTGATGCACCAAAAACAACCAAGAACTTAGCACTTAAAAACCCATTCTAGCTCATGGCTTCTGGGGAGTTTTCTCTGCACAGCATCTCCTATAGTGATGTAAACAAAAACAGATAGGGAATGCATTGGGGGAAGAACGTGGGAGGGATGCTGGTGGTGACAAATGACACTGATTCAGGATGCTCTACCTTCCCTCAGAGGTGTGTGGGAGTTTCTGAGCACACCTCTCCCAGGAACATCTATTCAGTATTCTGCCCATCAATGTTAACAGGGTAACTTCTCCCCAAACCCAAGCAGGAAAGGATTAGGAGAGGTCCTTTGACATCTTTTAGTGAGAGGAACCATGCAGTGTGACTTAGGTGATCAGGAGACAAGTGTGAATATTCCTATTCATAGTATTTGTGACACTTCTCTTTTTTTACCTTGTTTCTCTCTAGTGCAACTCAAATGTGCAAAATTTATTTCCTGTTCCCATTTCCTTGTTGGATCCTTTTCCACCCTCCCCATCTTACTCCCTTTTAAAGTCTCTGCTCCCTTCTGTCTGGGGGCTGCTCACTCTTGGCTCCTCATCCCAGCAGGTGCCAGAGCTACAGTCTGTCCCTGCCCACTGGGACATCCCAAAGTCTCAGCCAAGGATGCCTCCTTTTTCCCATTTCTCCCTACACAGCCTAGCTTCTCTTTCAGGACTATTTGACCACAGCTTTCTTACTCTTAGAGGTGGGATCTGGAATGCTGGTGTAAACCAGCTTACGAACAGATCTTGGCCTGGTGTAAGGCCTAAGGCTACTTATTTTTGCTGTTCTACCCCCTGGAGACTTGGCCAACTCCACCCTGGATGCTGAGTGATGGACCCAGGGCATAGATAGCTGGTCACGCTGCAATCGCAAGGTCTCTATAATCTTCACAACCTCCTGGTTTGAGAAGGACTTTTCCATACCCTCACTCCTCCACTCCTGCCAGAGTTTGCAGTTTAATCTATGACCAGGGAACCCTCCTTCTCTGTGCTCCTAACTCAAAACACAACTATGTTTATAAACACCCCAGAAGTCATTCTGTGTGTTTAGTTAAAAAGAAAAACCTAGTAATGGGGACACTAAACTAGGAGTCAAAGGAACTTGATAAAATGAAGTCAGAGACAGGGCTGGAAGAAAACAGAATTTTCTAGTCAACCCCTTGTTTGACAAATGAAAAACTCAAAGTCCAGAGAGGGGGGCACACAGCCCGCCATGTCTTGACCCCAAGGTTCCCAGCTCACTGGTTTTTCTCCTACCCATCCATTCACCAGAGGCTGGAGGGCTGGTAAATGATACAAAAACACCAGGTGCTGCTTGTGCCCTGGGATTCGGTCACAGAATTCTATTTCCAGCTCTGCTATGGCCTGGCCTGAAGAGCTTGTGTGAAGAAAGAATCAAGGGCTCCTACCCACCCCACCCCCTCCTGCTGCAGCCACTGGGAAGCAACCTTGTGGGGGCCTGGCCGGGCAGAGTTCTGAGCAACGCCTGGCATTTTCCCAAGAGCCAGCCCCTCTGGCCTCGCACCTCGCACCTTTGGGAGGAGTCCAGTGATGAATGCCATCTGAAGCCTGCAGCAGTAGGAACTCAATCGCACTGTTGTCCATCTTGGGGATGAGGTGTCTTCGGAAGACGATCAAGCCACATGCTCTCAGGGCCATGGTCTATCTAAGGACTTCACACAGAAGACATGGGACACTGGAAAGTTACACAAAACAGGAAGATACACACTGAGAAGTAGCACTTGGGTGCTGGAGAGTAGCACAGAATAGCTATCAGTGATCTCATAACCCACAGAAATAGGCAGCATGCCAAGAACCAATGGAAGGAATCCAGGAAGCAGAGATGGACCTTTGCGTGTAATTGCAGGACCCTGGCAACTATCCTCAGTCAATGTGACCTCTATCCCAACGGCTCCACTTCTCCTGGTAAAACATAGGACTAATGCGTGTTTGTTATGAGACTGGAGATCCTCAGAAGCAAACCCACTGAAACAGGAGAGATGTTGGTAATGGAGAGATGCAGTACAAGTATTATCATTAAACCCACAATCCCATTTCCCTCAGCCTACATTCTGAGCACCTGAAGCAAAGAGCTCCCCCAAATTCAGAAGGGTCACCTAGAGAAAACAGCTTGGCGTACTATAAAAATTTTGTTGTTGATTTTTTTAGCCTTTTATTTTATCCATATTTTTGAATATGTTATACATTAACATGGTCCAAATTCAAAGTACAAAAGGGCACACATAGTAAAAAGTCTCTTTCCCACCCTGTAAGAGGCAAATTAACATAGTGGTCAAGAGCATGAATCTGGAGCCTGGCTTCAGGTTCTGGCTCTGACACTAGCTGTGTGACCTCCTGTTCCTCAGTGTCTTCATCTGTGAGATTGGATTATAGTTATACTGCAAAGGGTTGCTGTGAGGATTATATGATTTAATTTTTGTAAAGCGATTTAGAACAGTGCCTGCCACATAATAAGCATTCAGTAGATTTCTGTATGTGTATAAAAATGTCTGGAAGAATATACATTATTAATAGTGGTTTCTGGAAGGTGAGATTATGGGAAGACTTTCATTTTCTACTCCATATATTTCTATATTGCTTGGGATTTTTTTTTTTTTTTTTTAAAGATGACCGGTAAGGGGATCTCAACCCTTGACTTGGTGTTGTCAGCACCACGCTCAGCCAGTGAGCGAACCAGCCATCCCTATATGGGATCCGAACCCGGGGCCTTGGTGTTATCAGCACCGCACTCTCCCGAGTGAGCCACGGGCCGGCCCTATTGTTTGGGATTTTACAAAGCATATTCATTCGTTTTATAATCAGCAATACAATAAAGATTTTTCCATGTCAAAAAAAAAGTCAATAACAACAAAAAAGACGAGGGGAGAAAAGTAAGAATATCTGCACAACTGAAAAGAAAATTCATCATCTGAGTGGAGACATGTAATCAAGTTAAAAAATATGGAAGATCATTTATGTAAGACCCTGCTAAGGAAAAATTTGTGTCACTGATTCAACAAATATTGAATACCTACTATGTACTAAGCACTGTGCTAGGGCTTTGCCCGCATGAAGCTAATATTCTAATGGGAGAGGCAGACTTTAATCAAATAATTAAGCAAATTAAAAAATAATTGCCAATAAACTACATGCTACAAAGGAAATCTGTGTAATAGGCAATTTGGCCTGGTCAAGGAAGGTTTTCTGAAAGATGGGATGTCTGAGCAGAGAAACAAAGGATGAGTCAAAGGGAAGTCAGCAAAGGGAAGGAGGGGAGAGAGTGTGCTCCAAGTGGAGGGAACAGCATGGGCAAAGGATGGCAGAACCAAAAGAAAGCCAAGTGTCTCAAAATGCAGTGGAGGCAGAGAGTGGCCAAGGCAGGATAAGGCCTGAGTCATCTCAGCAGGGCTAAAGAAGGAGCTGGTGCTCGGGATACCACAGCCCATGCAGAAGGGCTGCTGAAATAGGAGCTGCTGTCCTCCCTGGCCCCTTTACTGGTGGCTCAATCAAGATGAGCTTTTGTCTGTCAAAGGCATAAAAATTAGGCCCAAACTGAAACCTCTTCCAGGGCAGTTCTCAGAACTGCCAACAGATGGTAATGTTACTCTAGGGAATAGCAGTTTCTCACCAAAAAAACAAACACCCAACACTGAGATCTTTCCAAACCTTTCTAAATGTATGAAGAGTTTTCAAGGATTGGAAATATGTAACCTCAAAAGAGGTTTTCAAAATGGTATGCACTCTCATATGCTGTTGGTGGAAGAGTAAATTAGAATATCCCTTTAGGAGGGCAGTTTGGTAATAACTATCAAAAAATAGGGCCGGCCCGGTGGCGCACTGGATAGTGCGCCGCTTGGGAAGCGCGGCGGCGCTCCCGTCCGAGGGTTCGGATCCCACATACAGACCGGCTCCCGCTCGCTGGCTGAGCGAGGCGCGGGAGCAACGCCGAGGCTTGCGATCCCGTTGCCGGTCCCCGGTCCGGTACGGGGGCAACACTGAGGGTTGCGATCCATTGCCGGACACGGAAAAAGGACAAAAGACAAAAAAAAATAAAAATAAAAATAAAATGCACATTCCCAAAGACTCAGCAATTCCATTTCTAGGCACTCTCACAGAAATACATGTGTAAGATGTACACATGAGAATGTTCACCACAACCTTGTTTGCAATATCAAAAAGAAAAAAAGGGTACAACCAATTATCCATCAATATGGGAATGGTTACAAAGTACAGTACATATATCTATATAATGGAATATTATGAAATTATTAAAAAATGAGGTAGAGGGCCGGCCTGGTGGCGCACTGGAGAGTGCGCTGCTTGGGAGTGCGGTGGTGCTCCCGCTGAGGGTTCAGATCCCATGTGGAGACTGGTTCCCGCTCACTGGCTGAGCGCGGTGCGGGCGCAAAACCGAGGGTTGCGATCCTGTTGGCGGTCCCCGGTACAGGCGTGACACCGAGGGTTGCGATCCTGTTACCGGTCAGTAAAAAAGACAAAAAGGAAAAAAAAAATGAGGTAGAGCCAAATGTGTTGCTTGGAAGAAAAGATCTACAGACATATTGAGTAAAAAAAGTATGGTTCAGAACAGTATATAAAATGTAATCCTGTTTGAGTTTAAAAATTCATATAAAAAGGGGAAGCAGGCTTTTATTAAACACCATGTTCTGCAGGGATACTTCAAAAAGTTCATGGTAAAATAGAATTGAAAGATAATATGAATCCTTCCATGAACTTTCTGAAGACCCCTCATATTTTTCTGGAGTCCCTATATATGCCAAGAACTTTCCCCATTCTGGAAGCCAAAGGAAATACCCTGTCACTGCAGAACTGGTGAACAAAGATTACAAATTACTGATTCATGGTTCAGGCAGAAACAGGTAACTAATTCCATGCCCTCCCTATAAAGATGCTCAGAAAGCTATAGATGTAGGGTCCCTTGCTCCTGCCTCAGGTGGAACCCCACGGAATGAATGCTGGAACACCTAGATAAGTTTAGGGATCCAAGACTAGAGAACACAGTGCCCTGTCTAGAACAGAAAGCCCCACAGTGTTCCTCCCCACCACTGCCACCACCAACATAGCATGGGAAAGCAAAGATACCTGCATGGAGAGCCGAGAAGAATAGGTGTGGGATGGTCATGTGGAGCCACTGAGAGGTGAATAGGCCAATATTTTCCAATGTAGCAGCGGTGCGGGGAAGGAATCTTAGGGTAGTGACAAGAGTGCACCCAAGCAAGAATGTAACCCAGTGTACAGATGTGACCACATTTAAGAACCAGAGAAGCCAATGGTTCATCTCAATGGGACAAGAAAAGCTAGGATCAGATGCTCACCCTCCACCTATGTTGTGGACCCATGAAGAGAACAGCTCTAGAAAGGCAGAACTCCTCGTTGCCTTTTTTTTAATTGCTTGGCTTGGGCCAGCAGTTCTCTAAAATTCCTTTGCCCACTCCATACACACAACCACTTACTCATCCTTTCAGAAGCAGCTCAGATGTCATCTCCTCTCTGACGCCTTCTGGCTTCTAATCACTTCTAATCACATGGCTCAAACAAACTTCAACTACAGGGTTTGATAAGAGAAGCAAACACTGTAACCAACAAAAAAATTAAGGATCTGTTAAAGGGATTAGACCTTGTACAACTAAGAATGTTGGCAGAGAAATCCATGCAACTCTGTCACCTCTGCATCTGGTATTGGGCCTGAAGTCTCTATATGTCAGTGAGGCCAGCAGTTGGGAAAAAAACTGGATGAAAAGTGGAAGAGGGCAAGGACAAACTGGTACCTGTGAGAACAAATCAGAACCTACAAGGAGAACTGAAATTTATGAGGACAACTCGAAACCCACAACTTCCTTTCACTGTCTCTAAGCTCAGTGATGTGCAGGAGGAGTGGGAGCCCTGTGCTATAGAGCTGAATGCACACCTGGCCCAGAACTCAGAGGAGCTGAAGGAGATTCAGCAGGAGCTGGGAGAGCTGCAGGCCTGGGTGCTGTTCTTCACCAACAAGGGGAGCCAGCAGATCAATGTCAAAATAAATGCATTGCCACCATGCCTGGTACCCGGCTCCGTGTGTTGGCTGCTACTTCACTTCAGTTTTCTAAATCTCATACAAAATTTTCTTGCAGTCAACACTAATCTGAAACCATATAGGAAGGGAATCCTGGGAAAAGTCCCAGTTTAGCTAAATTGACACAGTACAAAGCCACCACAAGCATGCAAACCTCATATGGTAAATCTCTGCTGGTACCTCTGGTAGGGAAGAGCCAGATTATGAGTTCTGTTTCCTTGGGACCCAGCACAACAGCTCTCAACAGATGTTCATTGACTCAACAGAACTCTCTCTCTACCTCCCACTCAAAACAAACGTTTGAGTATGTTCTGGGGTCCTGGGAAATAGCCCAGTGTTTTCCTGAAAAGTACCATTTACATAAAAGTCAGTGGAGTTATTGTTAGGGGAAACCACGGAGCTGAAACTGTCCAGGGGTTTGAAAGTAGTCAGCTTTCATGCACAGACTCGAGTGGATTCAAACCTCAGGGGGTTAAAGAACACAGCATTCAATATGCAAATATGCCTGCAGCCAGGATTGCGGAGGTGAGAACTCCAGGCTGACAGCAGGCAATTCACACTTCAGAAAAGTGGCAGAGTGCCTGAGGTGGTTAGAAAAAAC